TCCTGTTGCTGTTCCCCCCTATCGTGATCTGCATACCGTCAGGATTAGCGAATTAACTGTGTGAGATATACGTATCGTGTTGAAGCGAGTGGTTATACGGGTTATGCACATATATCTTAATATTAGAAATATATTTCGCTCTGTCGAAGTCCACCGCGGATAAGAATTAAATAAATTAAATTAAAATGTTGAGGAATTTGTTTGAAATTTTTGAGCTAACAAACAATTCATAACTTCTCTGATAAATAAAATAAGGATACATGCAGAATTCATAAACGCTATTAGCTGATATACATACGTATTAGTATACGTGTATTTAAGTAGTATAATGCGGTGTTAATTAGCTGTATAACCCAGTAACAGAACTTAAATTACAGATAGTCTTGTGTATACTTAGGACTAAACGTTCTTGAAAAGAGATGTTCCATTTCCTCAATTGTGCAGAAAATGCGTTAAAAAAGGGAAAAAAATGTTTGTGAGCCCACTGTCTTCATCAAGATAAATGAAAGCTTCAAGAAATATCTTTATAACGATATCCTGAAAATCTATCTCTACATAAAATTAAACAAACTGTAACATCTACAATTCCAACATAGAAGCACGCACATTTTCTAGACTTCGTATTCTCCTCTGGAAGCAGCTTTCACTTTTCCAACATCTTATCCAATAACTGAAGCCATACTTATAGCCTGAATTCGATCGGCCATCTATCGAGACGTATGCGTCCGCGATGCCTCAGTGGCGATATAATTTTATATAATGAAGTATAGCGTGTAACCCTAAAATGCGATGAAGCCGACAAAACTCGCCGAGGCTCGCGCTAATGGAAAATCTCGTGCAACCAGAGCACAGACTCTAACCACGTCATAGTCGAAATCATGCAGACTTGCGTTTGTTCTAAAGGGGAAGGTCTCTCACCATTTTGCCTTTCTTCGCCTGCACGATTTTCCGATCGGATATTTGAAAAGCGATCGCGTTATCGAAGCATCACGGCGGTCAATGGTTTCTGATCGGGGCAAACGAGCGCGAGTCGAAATTGGTATGCCCGATTGTCGAAGGGTGTCCGTGGCAACGCGTGTTATTTCGTGAAACGGATCTATTTTGAGGGTGCCTGACCCTTAAGTGATATGTGCCAGGAATAGGAAAGGGTCTGGAGCCTATGGTTGAAGGGGTCTTGCGACAAGGAGGAAACGAGGTAAAGCAAGCTGGCGAACGAACCGAGAGGGAACCAAAGAGAGGAACTTGTTTGCGCTCAACGAAAGAAAGAATTCAACGTGGGGGTGATCGCACGTCCGGGCATCTACATGTATTTTCCATTCGTTTGGGATCCTCTCGATACGAGGAGACCGAGGTAAGGAGGAAAAAGAGAATCAACGGTCGGCAAGGAAGAGGACAAGGGCAGGGGAGGGGGGTTAGAAACTGTGAGAAATAATGAAAAAAAAAAGAAAGAAAGAAATCGAGGCGCACAATGTGGTCGATACCTTTTTATCCTATAGACCTTCGTCATCGACAAAGTCTTTCTCTCCGCAATACCTGTGTGCTTGTACAGTCTCGCTCCTTCACTCGACGCTATCGTCTTGCCGGAACTCACGACCTGGAACCTCGAAGCCGGTCACCCCTACACCATCCTCTCTGCCCACTTTTGCAAGGCACTTTTCTTCCGGAACGCTGGCCCGACAATCGTATTCCCCATTCCGCCATTACGTTCGTCCCGGCTGTTCCATTCCTTCAATCTGGCCGCGTTATATAAGGAGTTCTTTCCTGTCTTCTCTCTCGTTCTTTCTTCCTTGCTTTCTTCTCCTTTATTGTACCGCACCGCCACACCCGTTTCTCCGTGCGTCTCTAACTCTTTCGGTTCTCCGCCAGTCGCGTCAAGTCAGATTGGAAAGTGTGTGCTCCGTGGAGAATTCAAAAGGGGAGAAGAGTCAGGGGTAGCGTTGCCTTTACTTCTGGTCGGTCAACTCTCGAAATTCGACGAGAATGTGGATACCTGTTGAAGGAAAGGCTCGGCTGTCTTGTAGTGCGCGACGTTCGATTATATTTTTTGTGGAACGGCTTGCGATATAAACTTGATAAATTGTTTGGATTTGCCTCGTCCCTTATCGCGAGATAGTTCGCGTTTTCGCATCTTCGAAATTTGACAAAATTGGATGATCCAGTTTCTCGTCTCTCTCGACGATATCTGATTGCATATTGAAACCGAGATGTAAGTAGCTTCTAGAAGACAGGCATTTGTAAGTAATATTCTATTTCACGGATGGATCAAACATAAGAGATTAGTAAGATCGAACAAAGAGGATATCACAACCTTTTATAAAATTATTACAATCATTTTTTCATTTCAATTCATATTTTCATGAACGTAATTAAAGAAACGAAACTTAAACAAAGATTTGTTTCACTAAATATTATAACAATTAGTTTACCTTCCTAATTTTACATATTTTTTCATATCACGGGCACTCTGTAAATTACCGTGGCTCTAAATTTTACATAAATGCATAGACATTCACAGTCTAACGACCACTGTCACGATTCTAAAATAACCAATACCGATTGCAATTTCTGCAACCAACGACCGGATCGATATTCCTAACGGTACGACATTGCTTTTCTCTAGCTCTCCTTACTTCCACGCGGCAAAATCCGATGGTGCCGCCATGGCGCACGATCGAAGCTCCGGTATTGCGGAAGCGAGCGCGACGAGCGACAAATTCTCGCGCGCTTTATATTCGCGACAAGTGCAGACGTGCATTCCCGTAAGATTGGAGTGGAAACTTTCCTCAGCGTCGTTGAATATTGCCAGACTGTAGGTAGTAACGCGCGCGACGCCCCGGAACTCGACGTTCCTCGTTCGAACGAGGATCGTCCGTGAAATCACGCGTGCTGCCCGCGACGCGGCCGGATACAGTGGCTGTGTGCAGCATGCACGCGCATCTCGGTGGCTCGTAAAATCTGTAGCCTTTACTGCTTTGCGAGATTGAAGAATCAGGTTGTAAAGGGCTGAATCCGCGCGGATAAAACGCGTCGAGGGGATGAGTGAGTGGTACGGTAGGTTGCGACGAAAGGATACGTGTGGAAACCGGAGAGAAAGAGACGAGAAAATCGGCATAGTAGAGGGAAAGGGGATAAAGGGTGGTGGTACGCAACGAAGGGTTGGTCGAAATTGGGCTAGCGACGACGTTGGCGAGGACGTCGACAGGTTTCATAGAGTCGGCGACAGGGAATGTTGAAATATAAAATAAATATCTTAAATCCGGCTTGATCCTGGCTTTAATTAAAAGTTGATCCTGGCGTTCGATACTGTCGAAAAGATTCCCGTGGCGCCATCCAATTTGCGTGTGGATAATTTATCAGACGGCCCTTTCAAACCGCCCGTTCATCTCACCTTCTCCGTTTCAAATACGCGTTTCGTCGCGCTGCCAATTATATCGCCGTTGCTTTTTTAATATTCTACGTAGATGGATGTATATACGCTCGTATCCTACGTACGTAGACATACATACGTTTCGATATGGAATTAAATACAATACCTGTATTCATATATGGTTGCCAATGCCCCCGTCAATTATTTCAAGGTACCATTTTTACCATTCGTCGACAAAAGACATAGAAAGGATATTTGTGGCACCGGTTCGGACGGTGATTTCTTATTGGCTGCCACGACGTACCTCATCCCCCGAATCCAGAACCTCTTGACAGTGGAAACTTACGAGCTTCCATTTAACTCTGGAACCGCGAATCCTCCTTGTATTTCATCGTCACGCCGCGAATTCTGTTTCAATTTTCGAGGCTCGCCTCGGCTTCTGCCTTCCGCTGCCAAGGTTGCACTCTCTTGTCCCCATCTCCAAACTCCTACCCCTTCCATCGTCGTATGAATGCTAACGCGAAAATTCTAACCCAGGAATGCTAACTCAACAAACTATTCTCCATCGAGAAGGAAGTAAATCGCGAATAGATCGAACGACGAAAAATCTCCTTTCGCTCTCGCGTTGGATTTTTGCGAGAAATCGCTTCACGCTCTGTCTCTCTCTCTCTCTCTCTCTCTCTTTCTCTCTCTCTCTTTTGCCGACTGGGATGGGATACGATCGGACGACACGGACCAGGAGACGACAGGCAACGAGACAGGATACGAGGGTAATCAGGGGGCGTGGAAGAGAGACAATCCATCAGCAAGAGCCGCCGCGTGGCTGTTACCCACTGCCATCGGTGTCGTCTGCCATTGGCAGACTTTCACCCCCTGGCGAGTACGCTAACTTCAGCGGTGGTGTCGAGTGAGACAGAGACTCGATGATACGAGCGAAAGTTCCACGATGCGCTGCAACCGCGGTTTTTTTTCTATTTTTTCCTGTTCTTTTTTTTTTTTTTTTTTTTTCTTTTGCAACAACTGCCACGGCAATGGCGGCAGTCAGATGCAGATGCAGATCATCCGGCCGATGCGAACGGCCGACAACTGTTCTCCACGGCGCGCTGACAGTTCGTCTGTTCGGCACGTGTTCGAACGAGTTGGAAATTAGTAGGCGGCGGCTGAAGGATTTAGGAGAAAGTTGAACGCCGTTTCGGAGTTTTTGGTGCTTCGAATCTCCCGCTCGGCGAGATTAAATTGTGCTACAGACAGTTTTGGGGATTCTAAATTGAAACCATGTCAGCGGTGATGTAGTCACGTGGGAATGAAGATAAGCATTCTTGAATTTAGGTTTCTTTATTCTTTTATTTTTTCATATTAAGCATTCTTTATAGACTTTTTTTCTTTTTTTCCGTCAATAGAAATGTAAAAGTATTCAGAGAATGTAAGATTCTTTTCCTGTATAGTTTGGAATATTTATGTTCTAGGAAAGAAAGTCTATCATACTTTATACATCAGATACTCTAAATTCGAAGCGAAAATTCTGTCGATTGTTGACTTACGATTAGAAATTTTCATCTTGTTTACTCTCTTTTACGAATCGCATTCAAATACTTTACAAAATGATACCTAAAATAGAATAAAGACATAGAGATAAATCAACAGTATCGTCCGCAAGCTCATTATTTCCGAACGTGAAAGCAAATCTACAATAAAAGTAGTAGCTAAGGACAGATTATTTCTTGTATATCCTAAAGCTTCAAAAAGCTTTGTCACGAAAGCAAACGAACGAATTACACAAATGTTCTGGCATAATTTCCCAACAACTCGAATTAATTAACATGACCAAGAGTCGGAATGGAATCATATCACTAGCAAAGGTATTTCCAACGTCACTGTACATAGCGTCCTCGGCTTCTGAAAAACGACAGCAAAGAACGGTGGCAGAGTGACGCGAGACGATAGAGGTGTCGTAATGTAAACCGCAGGGTTAATTATCCACCGGTAGAGCTGTGACTGACGTATGTGGCAACAGCAGGAACGACCTGCTTCAATATTGCTGTGTTGACATAGAAAACAGCCACGTGAAGTCAGCCAGCCAGGTATGTCCGCGTTTAAAACAGTTAGCGGTATCGATTCGGCCTGTAAACGAGAACAAGAAGAAAAAGGCGTCTGACGTTTCACTGCGATAAAAATATGCGAGAATGTGGCGAATAACCGTGGTCACGTTTTCATGACTCTGCGAATAGAGTGTTTTCAAAATGTGAGATAATTGAGAAAGCGATACAATGATAAGAATAATTTTTGTTTAATAGTCAAATGATTGATTTCACAATTCTGTGATGTAATTTGTTTGTCGTATATTCTGTGATATAGTAAAGTTCTAAACTCGGTTTAGGTTCTATTTCTTTATAGATGTTCATGATAGCGTGAATTTCACACAGACATTTGTTATCTCTTTATTAGTAAACGCTCAAGCTCGATCTATAGCGGCACGTATATGTTCATTAGACAAAATTGTTCCTTTTATCGTACCTTGTCACTTCTGCTTGATTGATCTGTGGTTCTAAAACATGCTGTATTGTTATTGCATTTACGAGACGAATGGTCTAGCGTATTATCTGTTTAATGCGTCGTGGCTCTGGAACATCACCCTAATGGGCTTGCAAACGAGAATAATCCTGTTTCACGCGTGAAGGGTTGTAGTAATGACGATAGCTATTCTTTGCCGCATTTGTCTTTTTCTTGCCCACGTTTTGCCCCTCGTTCACGATCGTTGGAACTACACAGTATAAAACTCAAGGTCATCGGACTAGATATTACAGCATCGACTATTTTCTCTTTCTTCTTTTTTAAAACCTTTAATTAAGCACATGCGTTAATTACCTCAAACTCGTTCTTTACTAATCCTTATCTCTTTATCAAAATCGAATCTCTATCCAGCTCTGCGAATTCTCAACAACCCAGCAATCAGTCCCACGACACACGACAAAGATTCATCTTACTAATTCTCTGAAATTACTACTCTACACTGTTAACCATCCACTCTATCGCTGGCTGAATTCTTTGCTTCTTTCGATTTGAGAATATATTCGAGACGAAAAAAATACCGGGAAACTTGAAAAGAGCTGGTTCGCGTAGAAATTAATAATTCAAGGTCGACTTTCGCGGATAGAACGCACTCGTAGACAAGAAGCGAAAACAGGGACAAAGACGCGGGCTCGAGAGCGAGAGTAACAAGATAAGAACAAAGATGGATGAATGAAGGGAGAAAGGTAGCCTAGTCACCGAGGAGACCTCTATGCATAAGCCAAGCTTTAAGGATGAGAGATACGTGTCTAACGAGGTACGGGGCAAGGAGTTGGTGCCGCGAGCAGAGGGATGACGGAGAGGGGTGAGACGCGAGGAAAATTATTAATCACGGCTGGGATTTCATAAAGCTCCGTTTAAGCTGTGCACAGTGCATCGTTTATTACCAGGTTCTCCGTGGAGGCTTTACGCAACCAGGAAATACACTGGTACTGGCTGCTTCTAACGGGCCCTCCCGTATATTACGTATCAAGGCGGAGCCGGTTGATCTTGCCCGCTAGAATAACTTGCTCGGCCTCCTTTGCGAAAATTGAACGTCGCCGCCCCCGCGGTTCGAATTACGACCGACGACGTCGTCCGTGGTCCGTAGGCTTTGAGTAAACTCGAGGACGCGGTTTGTTTAGACAGACGGCAACCCGCCAAATTATATCGGGGAACCAGATTTCCTGATCCCCCGCTTCCGGTAATATTCAAGTTTCTGGAAACTCGTCGACTGTCGTCCCGTCATATCTAAATTTCATCTTGAGTTTCGTTAAGTTTCTTGTCTCTTTTGTCAGGCAGGTTCTTTTATTTGTATGTTATTCCTTTTTACGAGATCATGTCACCGTGTCTTTTCTTTATGCGAGCTAGGAAAGTTTAAGGTTCGTGCAGTACATTCCTCTGTTTCTTTCGACGATTTGTGTCACTCGAGCCCGCTGAAAGGTAGTGTCGGGTTTCCCTGCTATTACTAGGGTTGGGTTCAACCCTTTGCTCTCTCTTTTCTTCAAAGATCCCTTTAGAAAGTATGCAGATGTTTGCGTATGCAGATATTTATTACATGGTACAGTTGTACTGTTCTCTTTTATTTATTTACCTGTTGATGTTTCTATACTTGTTCCGTAGTTGTAACAGTTATTCATATTGATTATTGTAACTCTGATAATGACCAGATAATTTCCTTTTGTTTCAGGTAAGTGCTACTTGCAGAATATGGTTCCTTTCAGACAACGATGTAAGTGATACTTTTGAGATATACATATTGCTGAACCGATATAAATTTCTGAAAATACATTAGAAACTGCATTTACGAGCTATATGAATAGCCAGCACGTTATTTATTAAATCTAAGAACGTTTTCATTGTAATATGATTATCGATAAAAGTCGGTATTTCGCAAGTAAATTTAATTTCAACGATACAAATGTTAATGATACTTAATGAAATAATTACTACACTTCCATAAATCCAATCTAAACAGGGCGCAAAAGTAGCATTCGTATTTTTAATTGCGAACAAGCTCAGGGTAATTAACCGTCAGATTAAAAAATTAATTCTCAATTTTATGTAACAGCAATAATTTTACATTTCGCCACACGAATCATATCGCGCCTAGCTTTAACATTCCGCAGACCATCCAAACAAATTGTCAACTTAAACAACCTACATTTTTAACATTCGTTTAACGTTGAATACTTTCGCATGTCACGAAGCATTCTGTGACATGCTTCCACCAATTTCGTCAATCGATGACGATGCATCGTAACCTCTGTTTCATCGAGAACGAGTCGAGAGCGCTCTTCTGGTAACGGAAGCGCGCACGTGCGTTGTGCGAGCGCGTGCACGTGACACGCAAGGGACGGGATCAAGGAGGGTGGTTTTCCCTGTAAACTAAGTAGTACAGTCAGAGCGAGGTATCGAGTGAGGGGTCAGCTCAAGGCGTACTAGGAAGGGATTATCCGAGTCGGTATTCGGTAATTGCTGCTAGCAATTTACTCCGGCAAATCCCCATTAACCGAGCCGACGAACCTGTCGGATGTATTCCTTCACGCAACGACAGCTGTGTGTGCGTACTCGTGTAGTCGTGCGTGTGCCACGAACACTTTCCATGACTGAACGATGAATCTAATCGAACGAATGCTGAACGCGACAGGCGAAGCCTTCTTTGATTTTTATTCATAAGCGACGACAGATTTGACAATGCCACGTGTGAAAGCACGTGCGTCTAGAAGAAGACGGTAATAGTTAATGACGATTGCAAAAGATTCTTACTTACTCTGGTTACTATAGATAGAGTGATATGATATTTGAAAATGTTGAAAAACTTTAATATATCATACATTGCTTGTAAAGATGTGAATTATCAAGGAATACCATTGCTGATTTTAGTCGATCACAAATGAATTATATTTAATCTTGATATATACCAGTAATTGGTATCATATCGTTTTTGTAATATAAAAAATCGTGTAACGTTACCGCGAATTAATCGAAGATCAAATAAGTAAACGGCGTTTTTGAGAAGTACACGAATGAAATACATTCACACTTCAATAAAATGGGATTAATTTGTATGATAGAGAAATCTATCTGTAATGGAAATATAATTCTAAACATCGTATACTCTTAATGAAACAAAGCTCAGTTGCATTTTATGTCCATATTTCTTCAGCTAAAGATACGATCTATTCTGTGAAATATAGTTTAATAACAATAACTCAGTGAAACTATATTAACGTGTATCAACATATAAATCAAACAATCTCTCAAAAAGGTTTTGAACAACCTTTCGTCTTAGTGCAAGCGAAAAATACACCCTTGAAACTCCATTTTTTAAGACTTAAAAAATCCTCTTACAGCACCATATACCAGCGATCTCATCTTGTAGGTATTAAGCTCGCCATAAGACGCTACGTTGGTAAAGAAACCGACTCCAAACAATCGATGCTAGAATAGATCTCGTACGAGAGGAAGGTTAATACGACATGTAACGTGACGTTGAGTCGAAATCGAGCAACTCCCCGTACTATCGTGAGCTTGTGAAGCAACTGTTCCTTCGAGACATAGCGCAGATATCGCGGCAACGTAGGTCGGATTAGGATCTATCCTTTAGCCTGCCATTCCTTTCTCGAGTAACTTGACGGTGCTTCACGAGGAAGGTCCAAAACGTGGAACGACAGTGTGGCAGTGGTTGACTGGGAATAGGATAGAGGGAAAAGGAGGAGCCGATTTCTCTGCATCTGGGGAAATGTGCCGAGATTACGGATCCAATTCCAATAAAGTTTAGCACGTGAGCCGACTGACAGCGGGCCAATTATTATTTAACCGAACTGGTTCCGCTCTTGAGCTTCCAGTTGAACCTGCTCAAGGAGAGAAAAAAAGACACTTCAGATATTCACGAAAATCTTCTGGAACGTGCCGCGAAAGAAACTGTCTCCGATCGGCTGTAGGATGGTGGAAAAATGGTAACGATTTATATCTGTCTTTGGAATCTCTCTCTTTCGTTGCTGCGCGTGTACATGCAGTTACTCACGAAAGAATTCGAACATTTATAGAAACTTTATGAATGTATTATGTATATTATATGAAACATTTTACAACTTCAGTAGTATTATATTGAGATTCGACTATCGTGATTAGGTCGTTGCTAAGGTCTGAAATATTTAAAATATATATAGAAGCTACAAGATATTTAGCCAGGTATATACTTCGTGTAGATCATAATAGTATTCAAACAGTCAATAATTCATTATATTAATAAGCCTCAATATTTAGTGGACTTAATTTCAACACTTATTATACGCTTCAAATGGTCATTCATAATTTACACTAATTATCTTTTTTTAATTTATGTTTTCAAAATATATCAATATATTAATTATACCTCAAAATGTATCGTACGATGTAACACACATAAATATGTACATGAAAATTTCCTACAGTGAGTGTCCAAATACTTTCTTGAGCCACTGCACTTCAAGATGGAATGTGGACGTTGACGAGATTACAGGCGCAATTTAATTTATCGTGGAGCCTAAGTACAATCTTAAAGAACGCTCCTTATTGTCGCGTAATTG